ACTGTGCTGTGCTCAGTCTTGCACTGTGCCTCACTGTACTGTGCTGTGCTCTTCTGTACTGTACTGTGCTCTACTGTGCTATACTGTGCCTATTGTACTGTGTCTACTGTACTGTACTGTGCTGTACTGTGCTGTGCTATGCTCTATTGTACTGTGATGTGCTCTACTGTACTGTACTGTGCTCTACTGTACTGTACTGTGCAGTTCTGTACTGTACTGGGCTGTGCTCAACTGTACTGTGCTCTACTGTACTGTGCTCTGCTCTACTGTACTGTGCTGTGCTCTCCTGTACTGTACTGTGCTCTACTGTGGTATACTGTGCTCTATTGTATTGTGCTCTACTGTTCTGTACTGTGCAATACTGTACTGTGCTCTGCTGTACTATACTGTGCTCTACTGTGCTATGCTCTTCTGTACTGTACTTTTCTCTTCTGTACTGTACTGTACTGTGCTCTCCTGTACTGTACTGTGCTCTACTGTACTGGGCTGTGCTCTACTGTACTGTTCTTTGCTCTACTATACTGTACTGTGCTCTACTGTACTATACTGTGCTGTACTGTACTGTACTGTGCTCTACTGTACTTATTGCTTCTGTACTCTACTGTACTGTGCTGTACTGTATTGCACTGTGCTGTGCTGTGCTCTAGTGTACTGTGTTCTACTGTAGTGTGCTCTACTGTACTGTGCTCTTCTGTACTGTACTGTGCTCTACTGTATTGTACTGTGCTGTTCTGTACTGTACTCTACTGTACTGTGCTCTACTGTACTGTACTGTGCTCTACTGTACTATACTGTGCTGTACTGTTGTGTACTGTGCTCTACTGTACTGTAATGTGCTCTTCTGTACTGTACTATGCTCTACTGTACTGTACTGTGCTGTACTGTACTGTACTGAACTGTGCTGTGCTGTGCTCTAGTGTACTGTGTTCTACTGTAGTGTGCTCTACTGTACTGTACTATGCTCTACTGTACTGTACTGTGCTGTTCTGTACTGTACTGTACTCTACTGTACTGTGCTCTACTGTACTGTACTGTGCTCTACTGTACTCTGCTGTGCTCTACTGTACTGTATTCTGCTGTACTCTTCTGTACTGTGCTGAACTATACTGTACTGTACTCTGCTGTGCTGTGCTCTAGTGTACTGTTCTCTACTCTACTGTGCTTTACTGTACTGTACTGTACTGTGCTCTACTGTACTGTACTGTTAGGGTGTGTCATAGGAGGGAAGATCAGCTAAAACTAATGGCCCATCACTTTTTTGGTAGATTTTAGTGTATATAAACAGAAAATAATTTCAGTTTCAATATTTTGCAACCTTTTGCTAGGTAAATTTTAGCGTGAAATTTATCGAAAATCTAACGTACAGCTGCATTAGTGCATTACAATCAAATACTGAACATTGCTTTCTGACTTCATTCTTTAACAACCCAAATAACAATATTTTTTTCTGTTTCAGATTCTGATGCATTTATAAGTTGATAATATTTGCGATGGCTGCTTGTGTCAGGACGAGGAACCAAAAATCCAGCCATCTCAGTCACTATCTTGGGTCTGGGAGAGAGCTCCTAAGGTCGGAGTTGCCTACATTGAGAGATGCTTTGAGATACGGTGTTTTAATCAGGCAAATCAGTGAAAAGAACCAAAGAACTTACACAAACAAAGACATTGCCAGTGATATGACCAAAGCTGTCTTGGCACAGTACACTCTGGCTAACGCTCAGTTCAAGCCTCCAGTCATAACAAGTCAGAAGAAGATTAGTGAAAGACTGCTAGCCAGTTGGGAAAAGGCAAGAGATATCTCTCTTGGGAGAGGAAAACTTGCAGTTAAGGATAGCTTTGCCAAGCAACTGGACCAGTTATTTGACATAATTACTTGCAAGTGCCCAATTGTTCTCTGTCCTGAGTTTGGATGCGATCGTGTCTGTAAATCTGAGGCCCACATCTCCTGTATTTGCAAGCGTGAACTGAAGCATTCCCAGGATCGAACTGGCATTTGTCAAAGCACAGAGAGAGAAGATTGGCAGTATAGGGGCTCTCATGATTTCTAGCCAAGATATTCCGGAGTCCAAGAGACAGGAGGCTGCCACAGAGAGACAGAAGAGTTGCCGAGGAAAAGAGACTTGAGAAGGCCCAGGGTGAGGTAAAAAAGGCCGATGATTGGAGTCAAGCTGATTCAGAGTTTAATGATTCCCCATGGCTGATCCGAGTGCTGACCAGGAGAATTGGTGACTTTGTCCCTAACCCAGAAAATAATGATCCCAAACCTTCCAGGCATAAGATTCGAAATAGGAAAGATATCCCGAGCATAGCTCTGGCCAGCATGCGACACCACACTGGTCTCAGAGAAACTGCAGAGATAGCAACAGCTGCCTGGATTGACGCTGGTTTGATAACACCTGATGATGTTCACCTGGTGATAGATCATAACAAAGTAAGGAGAGCTCAGGAGAAACTTGTCAGTAACCTAGAGGAGGAGTTTGATAAGGGGATAAGAGAAAATGGAATCAATTGTTTTTTCTTTGATGGGAGAAGTGATGACACTAAAGTGTTCATGAAAGTTGGAGATTCTGACAAGTTGTTCCCTGCCATGGTGAAGGAGGAACACTACTCCTGCTGCAGTGAACCAGGAGGGAAGTATTTGTGGCATTTCACTCCAGAGAAAGATGACATCAGGAAACCAGCTGAGATAGTGGCAGATAACATTGTGAACTGGCTCAGAGAGAGGAACGTAGACCAGACCCTGCAGGCCATTGGAGGGGACAGCACCAACACGAACACAGGGTGGCAAGGGGGGGGGTCATACAGTGGATAGAGCGGAAGATTGGGAGGAAGCTGGTCTGGATTGTTTGTGACCTCCACACCAACGAGTTGCCACTCAGACATCTGATCCAGGAGCTGGATGGCAAGACTCTTTCAAACAACAGATGGTCTGGTCCTCTTGGCAAGATGCTGGACTCTGCCACTGAGTTAGAAATAAATCCGAGCTTTGAAAAATCACAGTTGGCCCTCCACTCGTTGAGCTTGCATAATACTGTCATTGACGACCTGAGTACTGACCAGTACTATGGTTACATGATTTGCAGGCCATCAAACTGGGGTCATGCCTGATAGACTTGCTTACCTGCAGATAGGTCCAGTCTCACATTCTAGGTGGCTCACAACGGCTCTCAGGTTCTGCAGAATTTGGGTCGCTCATCATAAACTGAAAGGGAACCAGCTTCACAACCTGAGACTTATTGTCCAATTCATCGTGAGTGTCTACTTGCCAAATTGGTTCAACACCAAGGTCAAGTCATCGTTCTCCGAAGGTCCGAGGCATGTTCTCTTCCAGCTTGAGCTCCTGAGGAGTCAGCCAAGGAAGGTTGTTCAGATTGTGGAGCAGACTGTGAGGAGATCTTCCTGGTATGCTCATCCTGAGGCAGTTCTGCAGACAATGCTCTGCAGTAAGGATGAGGAGGAGAGAAGAGTGGCAGTCAAAAAGATCTTGGATATGAGACTTATGAGAGGATCTGGGCATGACGAATCAGTTGGTGACGATTCCTTCATGGTCAGGAAGACTCCTGAAGTCAATCTAGGTGCCAAGACCCTCACTGATCTCATAGATCTGGATAACATCCAGGCTGGCAGTGAGCCCCCTCTTACCTGCAGCCTCACCAATGTTCAAGTCAGAGCTTTCCTGGACAACCCCATGCATGTCCCTGCCTGGCCCTCGCACACCCAGAGTATAGAGCGTTGTGTACAGCAAGTGAGCGAGGCCAGCAGTCACGTGTACAGCCAGGAGAGGAGGAAAGGCTACATCCGAGCTCAGGTGGTCAGCAGGGAGGTGATGAGTAGAAACAGAAGCAAGAAAGACATGTTCTCTATGGTGTGCAGCAACACCGGTCGTAGTAGTAAAACCGGTTTTGTATTTGATGATTTTGTTTTCTAAAGGAATATTAAATTTAATAAATGTGTCAAGATCATTCGTTTCACTATTCTGGATCATTTTCATCCTAATAAATTAACCTGATACATTTACTTTACTTTAAATAAGCTATTTAGTGGTGTTGGTAAAAGGGTGGGAATACTGAATTTTCATAAGATTTCAAGTTAAAATTTACCTAGCAAAAAATGAAAACTTTTCAAATCTGAAGATATCACATGATTCTGCACATAGAACTACATCATTAATACCATGGGCCGATTTTTCAAACTCAAAAAAAAAAAATTCGCCTCCGTATGACACACCCTACTGTACTGTGCTCCTCTGTACTGTACTGTGCTCCACTGTACTGTGCTTTACTGCACTGTACTGAACTGTGCTCTACTGTACTGTACTGTACTGTGCTCTACTGTACTGTACTGGACCAGAAGATCAACATACAAGTCAGAAAATGGGTTCCCCTTCCTCTAACTCTTCACGCATCCTGTAATGGCCCTTGTTTCATAAACAGAAGTATTATATAAATGGGTTAATTACATTTGATTTATATACTGAGTCATCCCCTGTAACTTTCCACTAGCTGTGAGGTGACATGTTCAATGCACGTGATAAGGTGTGCCCACGGGAAGCTGAGTCATACTATGTTGAGTAAAGGCATAAAGTAGCCGGCTCCTGGCCACCTAAAGTGGGCAGTAGCTTGATATCCTTGACTAGAGGAAGACGTTATTTTAGAGCCGCAGTAGATGGCTCCGTGTTCCCTCGAGGGTGGACGAAGTCCCTATTCCGTTCTCCCTCGATGGGTCACTACTCAGAGTCTCACTCCCAAACTTACATCGTACGGATGTTGATTCACGTCTATTTACATAGACGCCGTCCTTTCTTATCACACTCCTAAACAGTGGAACTTACGGTTGATCTACACTCAGGAATTATACAAATAACACTTTTTGATAAAAGAAAAAACTTCAATTGGGTTTCGTTATTAAAGCCCAATATAAAATAAATGTACCGAACTGGTTGACTAGGAATTAACCAACCTGTTCAATCCCTTATTGGCCTACCCCTGAAGGATGGGGGAATGGGAGTGCCAAGCCTCGTCGAGAGCGTAACTCATATGAAGATGGGACTGCTTCACCGCCTAAGGACCTCCAGCGACCCGGCCGTCAGACACATTGCAGTCGAAGGACTCTGGGGGAGGGAGGTGACAGCAATGGCGCGGCACTTCGGGGTAGAGCACATCAACGTCGACACCACACGCCAAATGAAAAAGGAAATTGGGGAGAAGAGGGACGAATGGAGCCAATCCTGGCAAGGCAAAGGGGCTGATAACTTCTTTGGAAAGCAGGCCTGCAATGGAATCCTTAAAAACGATCTCGGACAAGGAAGGAACCCGATTGACCTGTTACGACTCCGGTCTCAATACATCTCGTGCCGAGTCTCGAGAGCCATTAGCAGCGTGCCGAACGAGGAGCTCACCACGTTAACGTGTCGGCGCTGTGGAGAAGGGCAGGAAGACCTGATGCACCTGTTGCAGTCATGTCGGGCTGCTCAGAACCACAGAGTTTCAAGACACGATGAGGTCCTCAAGAAGCTCGGCCAATGGCTCGAATACCAACTAGTCACACATTCGTGAAGCCCGACCTACTACTACAGAAGAACGGCCGAAACACAGTGTTGGACCTCTGTAATACGCCCTCCATAGAGTTGAGCAGTTAAAGATCGACAAATACAAGGCGTATGATGCAGAAGTGAGGAGGTACATCGTCAGCAAAGGAATAGCGACCCCAATCGGGGACATCACCTTCCTCTGAACTGCAGTCGGTGCACGTGGTGACATCTGCACCGCCACCACCAAGCTGCTCAGACAAATGAAGTATGAGAGGCCCAGGCATTGGTATCCTCACCACCATGGCCATAGAGGGTTCGATCAAGATCTTGCGAACCCTCAGGGTGCAAGCGTCCGGCTAGCTAACAGACGTGCCCACGACGAGCACGGGGCGTGTGCCACACCGTAAGCAAGGCGGTACCACCATTTCCTTGTCCAAAATCTCTGTTCACCGAGATACTGCCTTCCCTGTGACGTACCCTTGTTTCCGACGTCCCACTTGGGGGCGCTCGAATAAATAAAACTTCGTATACGGGGAGCATGACAACAATTTTTTTTAATCTTTGTCTATTCATCATCATGATTGTCCATTCCATCATCAATGTCTAGGCCATGTAAATATTCTTGTAATTATGTCTACACTGCACCTACACATGACGTAACTTGCCAACTTAGCGTCAACACACCCGTTAGTCTGGCGGGGACAGGGGTGTCTGCCTGTTAGTTCCTAGAGTAGACCAGATTTGGACAATCTGGGAGTCTCACTTAACATCTAATCCACCATGCCCCAGACACTAACGATCATACACGATTCATTCACACACATTTTTTAAATTAAAAGTAGAAAATCCTAGAGTGCTACCATGTGACACGCCGGAAACAGGGGTCTAGCCAAATGCCTCATCATCTAATTAGTGACGCGCATGAATGGATTAATGAGATTCCCACTGTCCCTATCTACTATCTAGCAAACCCACAGGCAGGGGAACGGGCCTGCACCAAACAGCGGGGAAAGAAGACCCTGTTGAGCTTGACTACAGTCTGATTTTGTAGAGAGACATCAGAGGTGTAGCATAAGTGGGAGGTCGTTCCACCTTTGTGTGGGTTGGCCGCCACTGAAATACCACTACAGTACTTTGATAGTTTCTTTACTTACTCGGTGAGACGAAATGGGAGTCTCTTCGCGAGGGAGCGTCTCCTCTTTCTAGCCAAAATGGTGTGAAGAACATTTCACCGAAAGTGTCATCAATTTGATGCCTCCATGACCTACACGAGACAGCAAGATGCACCACACCACCAAAAGAACGCAGCATGACACCATCTCGGGTCAACCCTAAGGCGCATCAGTGTAACATATGCGGGAGAACGTTCTTGAGTGCGATGGGTCTCACCCAGCACACTCGACTGAAGCACCAAGAAGTGTACAACTAAACACTTAAACCAGCAAAAAGGGTACCTTACTCACCTCAAGAAATCGCGTTAGTAGCCGAGGAAGAGGCACGGCTCCTCCAGTCCGGCAGGAAGACAACCTCCATCAACCAGCTCTTGCTGAAAAGTCTTTTGGAGGGGTCAATTGGCCTAGAACGGCTTAAAGCGATGAGAAAAACACCAATGTACAAGACAGCTGTACAAGAGAGCCTCGCCAACAACGACCAAAAGAGGCCACATTCGCACCCGGACCTAGGCAATGAAGAGGCCCCAAACCCCCAAAACCTCCCCCAAGGAGGGAATGACCCCAACCCCTCAGACCCAGAGACTCCTCCAGCAACTTTGAAGAAGAACTGGACCGCAAGCTCGAGGCGAGGAGGAGGTTATGGGAGTATCTTAGGGCCCTCAGTGAGGAGGAGGAGGCGGCCAAGACGCTTATCTCTGACCTCAACCAGGTGCCGTGCAACATCCCTGCTTCCGAAGACCTAACGGAGGGGGACTATGGTGCAGCACTGGATGGGTTAGAGACGGCGCTGAGGCAACATAGACCAAGGCTCTTCACCGGAAGGAGACAGCCTCGGCAGGAGCAAAAACACCAACATCCAGCCTAGAGAACAACACCTTCCAAGAAGAGTGCGAAAGAAGTGGGATTACGCACGAACACAAAGGGCCTACCAAAGGAATCCCAAGGAGCTCGCCAAATCATTGATGCTGTAGAGTTTAGACCTAGGTTCTCTGCACCCTCCCCCACCAGCAAAAGCAATGATAAAATGCTTGACACTCTCCTGCCAATCTCCAAGAACGACATTCTGACAGCGCTACGAGGACCTGAGACGGCAGCAGGCCCTGACAACCCAGAATTAGACTCAAAAGCCCTATGAAGACAGGGATCAGGCGTTCTGGGCAGGGTCTTCAATGTGTTGCTGTACCTGGCAAGGGTTCCCCAATGGACCAAGACGAGCAGAAGAACGATGCTCCCCAAGAAGTCGCCCCTAGGAAATCCATCCAACTGGCGACCCATCACAATCGGGCCGCATTTCCTAAAGTCCTGGCACACAGGATGATTGAAAATGCAGAGACCAGAATCAGCCATGAGGCGTTTCGGGCAGTCGACGGATGCGGGGAGAACCTCGCACTCGTCGAGGGAATCATCAGACGCCCGAAAAGAGAAGAGGAATGTCTACATTACATTCATAGACGTTGCAAAAGCCTTTGACCCCATATCGCACCTGAAAAGCAGAGGAATCCCAACGCCACTATCACTTTCGTTCCTAGGCCAAAGGGAGGCCCCAAGGGTCAGTCTGACAGATCCACAGCTACCACACTTCCACCTCCAAGGCATGCTATACATCCTAGCCCCAATACCGAGAAACACGTCACGGACACTAGTCCCAATCAAGACGCTATTTTTGGTAAGGATGTTCTCGTGACGGAACGTGGCATGTACGTTCGCTTCATGCCCTCCTTCGCCGCATCAACAGCCATAGCGAGAGACATCTATAATAGATTTGTTTCTAGCTCCGTTGAAGTTCAGAAAGCCATCCTCCCAGAGTATATCCATTACTACATGACGGCAATGTCATGGCTGCGCATCATTAATTTGAAACGCAACAATGGAGACACTCGCACTCAACGTGAAGATGAACTCTTCAGTGCTGCCCGACATGTATCCTTTTGCATCCCCGCTCCTATGTATTTATATATACGCGGGATAGGTAATTTTATTACAGGCACCAGAAAACATTTGTATCCTGAGTTTCCTCCTCTCCCCGAAGATTTAGCCAACCAGACCCATGGTGGTTATTATAGTCCTTTCACTGTTGATACCCATAATCTGTTCGAGGAAATCCCTTGTCTCGGAGTCCACGCCGAAGCTATTAAGCAAGCATTCTCCAACGCAGACCCAGGACCATATTCCTCATCTTTACAGACTGACGCACTTGCACCAACCCAAAACCTTTTAGGTTTCTCTGACCCGAAGCTAAGCAGCTTGGCTGAGCAGCAGGAATTACTTCCCAACACTTCCTTGAAACCGTCATAGGCACTGGGTTCAATCTCACTTTGTTGAGATCCATTTCATCAGTCCTCGCACGTCAAACCGTGTTCAAGAACCATGACGTGAACTTTTACGCATTTGACTCCGCAGGTCACCGCTCCCAAGCCATCATTTCAAGAATTATAGCACCTCGTGCTAATGTTCTTAACATTAATGACATCCAACAACCTAAAAAAAAAGTTGGAGACCGTCTCCATCACTAGAGGAGTAAAACAGGGCTGTCCACTCTCGCCCTTCCTCTTTTGTGCAGTGGTGGATGAATACCTGGCATCATTAGGCCAAGCGACCGGCTACCACATCGACGAACACACTAGCGTTGCAGTGACCGGATTCGCTGATGACCTGGTAGTAGTCTCCGAATCCAGACTGGGCATGAGGAGAAACCTTGCCATGTTGGACGACTTCTTACAAGCAAGAGGTCTGACTGCACAACCGGCAAAGTGCGCCACATTAAGTCTTGAGAGAGCGGCAAGAAACCGGAATCGGATAAGACTCTGCGTAGTGACGGAAGAGTGCTTCCATCTAAGACACCCGGACACTGGCCAAGCGGTACCCATTCCGAGCATCCAGCCTGAGCATTGGTCCCTCGGGACTGGAGAGACCGGGATGACAGGTCAATGCGGAAAAAGCTATTTTGGCGACCATCTTAGACAAAATTGGAAAAAGTCTTCTCAGACCCCTACAAAAGCTGAAGTTACTGAAGCAACATGTCATCCCTAAGCTTCAGTATAAGTACGTAAAAGGCTCGCGCTCCCTCAACCTGCTCAAGAGCCTCGACAAAAAGATCAACATACAAGTCAGGAAATGGTTTCACCTTCCTCTAACTCTTCACACATCGCTTATTGGCTTGCCCATGAAAGATGGAGGAATGGAAGTGCCCTGCCTACTCGAGAGTGCTACCCATATGAAGATGGGACTGCTCCACCGCCTAAGGACCTCCAGCGACCCGGCCGTTAGGCTCATCACAGCCGAAGGACTCTGGGGGAGGGAGTTGGTAGCAATGGCAGAAGCACTTTGGGGTAGAGCACACTAGCGTCGACACCACACGCCGGATGAAGAAGGAAATTATGGAGAAGATGAGGGACGAATGGAGCCGCTCCTGGCATGGTAGGAGAGCGGAGAACTTCTTCGGGATGCAGTCCTGCAACAGGAGCCTTAAAAACGATCTCGGACCGGGAACGAAACCATTTGACCCGGTGCGACTTCGGTCTCAATCAATCTTGTGCCGAGTCTCGAGAGCCATTGGTTGAGTGCCAAATGAGAAGCTCGCTACACTGACGTGCCCTCACTGTGGAGAAGGGCAGGAAGACTTGATGCACCTGCTGCAATCATGCCAAGCTGCTCAGAACCACAGGGTAACGAGACACAATGCGGTCATCACAAAACTTGGCCAATGGCTGGAGAGGGACGGCTATGACGCAACAACCGAACCCCACATACCAACCGGACGCACGTTCGTCACGTCGGACCTGCTACTACAGAAGAACAACCGATACACAGTGCTGGACTTCTGTATACCCTACGAGAGCGACAAACACGCTCT